TACAACTACTACTACTACCACTACCACTACTACTACTACTACTACTACTACTACTACTACTACTACTACTACTACTACTACTACTACTACTACTACTACTGCTACTACTACTACTACTACTACTACTACACTACTACTACTACTACTACTACTACTACTACTACTACTACTACTACTACTACTACTACTACTACTACTACTACTACTACTACTACTACTACTACGACTCTTGCTATTACCCCGCCGCTTGCTCCGTTGCCTCCTCCTGCCTGTCCTCAGCCTCATCCGCCGCATCGTTCTCCGCATTCTCCACCTCTTCCGCATCCTCCTCCGCCTCGTCCGTCTTTTCCTCCTCCCCCGCCTCCCCCTCATTATCCTCCGCATCCTCCTCCTGGTCCTCCTCCACATCCTCGTCCTCCTGCCCCTCCAACCCTCCTCCTCCCCATCCTCCTGCTCATCCTCCCCCTCCTCCTCACCTCCTCATTCGCTTCCTCCTCCCCCTCCCCTCATCCTCCCCCTCCTGTTCATCCGTGTCCCCCTCCTCCTCCTCAACCTCCTCCACCTAATCCGTCTCTTCCTCATCCTCCTCCTGCTCTTCCCCCTCCTCCTCCTCTTCCTCGTGCGCCCACGTATTCCTTCTCCTCCTCAACCCGTTTCCTTCACATCATGCACCCCCTCCTCCTCCTCGTCCTCCTCCGCATCCTCGTCCTCCCCCCCTCGACCTCCTCGTCGTCCTCGTCCTCGCCCTCGTCGCCCTCCTGCTCCTGCTTCTCCTCATCCTCCTCATCCTCCTCCTACTACTACTCCTACTCATCCTCCTAATCCTACTCCTACTCCTACTCCTATCCTTATTCCTTATTAGAATATACTCCTACTCCCCCCTCAGGCCGGCCATTAGGGGCCGCATCCGGGTGGTCCCATCCTAACCTGTAAAAAACAATACAAAATCAACATTTTTCTTATTTTTTCCTCTCGACATGGACGTCCTGTCGTCCACGGCGATAATCCATTGCAAAAAATACCACAAAGAGCACACGCGCGCGTTCATGTCAGAATCCTACCGAACACCGTGTGTTTGCAAGCATTTCAACATAAAAACATCAAAAACCCAATGCTTTTTTCACAAAAATTGTACAAATTTCCCGCCCGGGCTCTCTTGCTGAAATCATAGGAAAACCATAGGAATCTTAAGAATTCGGTCAAATCCAGCGATTTCACGTCATCGCGCGGTGCACTCGCGATGCTCTGTCATGCACCCAGGCCGCGAATCCTGTGCAAAAAATACCACAAAGAGCACACTCGCGCGTTCATGTCAGAATCCTACCGAACACCGTGTGTTTGCAAGCATTTCAACATAAAAACATCAAAAACCCAATGCTTTTTCACAAAAATGCTTTGGGGTGTCCTGTCAGACCGTCGGGCTTCCTCCGGCCACCTCTGGCTTCCTGCGGTGTACCGGGCCATTCTCGACTCGTCTGGCAATGCGTGCGCGGCATTCAACACGCGCTCGCCAGTTCCCGTCGGCAACCGCCATCGCGGCCGCATCAGCTGTACCAAACCGGCTGGCCGGTGTGACTTCGGCCCCCAGTTGTGCCAGCTTTGCTTCTTATGTTGTGGGAGGGCGGGTGGGACTGGGCATGCCATGCTTGACTCGCTCGAGCTGGCTAGCTTGACTCCTACTCCTACTCCTACTCCTACTCCTACTCCTACCTACTCCTACTCCTACTCCTGCTCCTACTCCTACTCCTCCTCCTACTCCCCCTCATCCCCGTCCTCCCCCTCCCCCTCCTCCTCCTACCCCCCCCCCCTCCTCCTCCTCCCCCCCCTCCTCCTCCTCCTCCTCCTCCTCCTCCTCCTCCTCCTCCTCCGCCGCCTCCTCCTCCTCATCCTCCTCCTGCGCCTCATCCTCCTCCCCCTCCTCATACTCCTTGCCTCCTGCTCTCGAGGCTCCTCCGCCACCTCCTCATCATCCGCCTCCTCATCAGCCTCCTCCTCGACCTGCTCCTCCTCCTTCGACCCCATCCGCATCAGCATCGACAGCATCATCATCATCATCATCATCATCATCATCATCATCATCATCATCATCATCATCATCATCATCATCATCATCATCATCATCATCATCATCATCATCATCATCATCATCATCATCATCATCATCATCATCAGCAGCATCAGCAGCAGCATCAGCATCATCATCGTCATCATCATCAGCATCATCATCATCAACATCATCACCATCATCATCATCATCACCATCATCATCATCATCAAAATCATCATCAGCATCAACATCATCATCAGCATCATCATCATCATCAGCATCGTCATCATCATCATCATAATTATCATCATCATCATCAGCATCATCATCATCATCATCAGCATCATCAGCATCAGCATCATCATCAGCATCAGCAGCCTCATCATCAGCAGCAGCATAATCATCATCATCATCCTCATCATCATCATCATCATCATCAGCATCAGCATCATCATCATCATCAGCATCATCATCACCATCATCAACATCATCAGCATCATCAGCATCAGCACCATCATTAGCATCAGCATCATCATCAGCATCATCATCATCAGCATCATCATCATCAGAATCGTCTTCATCATCATCATCATCATCAGCAGCATCATCATCATCATCATCATCATCATCAGCATCCGCATCATCAGCATCATCATCATCAGCATCATCATCAGCAGCATCAGTAGCATCAGCATCAGCAGCATCATCATCATCAGCATCAGCAGAAGCATCATCATCATCAGCAGCATCGTCGCCATCAGCGCCATCATCATCATGAACATAAGCAGCATCAGCATCATCATCATCAGCATAAGAATCAGCATCAGCATCATCATCATCCCCATCATCCTCAACAGCATCATCATCATCATCATCATCATCAGCATCATCAGCATCATCAGCAGCATGAGCAACCGCATCCTCATCATCATCATCAGCATCAGCATCAGGATCAGTAGCATCATCATAATCATCAGATACACCATCAGCGTCATCATCACCATCAATAGCAGCCGCTGCAGCAGCAGCCGCATCAGCGTCAGCATCAGCATAATCATCAGCAGCAGCAGCAGCATCATCATCATCATCATCATCATCACGATCATCATCATCAGCGGCATCAGCATCATCAGCATCGTCATCATCATCTTCATCATCATTATCATCATCAGCAGCAGCCTCATAATCGTCATCATCATCAGCATCATCATCAGCATCATCAGCAGCATCGTCAACATCATCAGCATCAGCATTACCATCATCGCAATCATCAGCAGCCGAAGCAGCAGCAGCATCAGTATCGGCATCATCAACATCATCACCGTCACGATCAGCACAATCAGTATCATCATCAGTATCGCCATCGTCATCTTCATCATCATCATGATCAGCAGCATCAACTGCAACAGCAGCATCAGCATCATCATCAGCAGCATGAGCATCATCATCACCACCGACAACATCATCGACAACATGATAAGTATCATCATCATCATCGTCAGAATCAGCATCATCATCATCATCATCATCATCATCATCATCATCATCATCAGTATCATCATCATCATTATCATCATCATCATCATCATCAGCATCCTTAGCAGCATCACCATCAGCATAAGCATCGGCAGCATCATCACCAGCATATCATCTGCATCATCAGCATCAGCATTATCATCCCAATCGCGATCACAAACATCATCATCAGTGTCACCACCATCGTTCGCATCATCAGCATCATCATCAGGATCAGCATCATCACCACCACCACCACCACAATCATCAGAATCAGCATCAGCATCAGAATCATCGTCATCACCACCTCATCATCATCAGTAGCATCACCAGCAGCAGCAGCATAATCATCATCATCATCATCATCATCATCATCAGCATCATCATCATGACCATTATCATCATCGGCAGCAGCAGCAGCTGCATCAACGTGATCACCAGATTCATCATCAGCAGCAACATCACGATGATCATGATCAGCATAAGGATCATCGTCGTCATCATCATCGTCAGCATCATCAGCATCATCATCATCATCAGCAGTATCAGTATCAGCAGCATCATCTGCAACAACGTCATCAATGTCACCATCCACATCAGCATCGGAATCCGCATCAGCATCATCAGCATCATCCTCATCATCATCAGCAGCATCATCAGAAGCATCATCATCATCCTACATCGTCATCATCATCATCATCATCAAGATCATCATCATCATCATCACCATCATCAGCATCATCATCAGCATCATCATCATCATCATCAGCATGTATCACCATCATCACCATCATCATCAGCAGCATCATCATTACCCTCCTCATCCTCCTCATCCTCATCCTCCGTCTCCGTCTCCTCCTCTTCCCCCTCTGACTCCTCCTCATCCTGCTCCTCCTCCCCCTCCTTCTCCTATTCCTCCTCCTCCTCCTCCTCCTCCTCCTATTCCTCCTCCTAATCATCCTCCTCCTCATCCACCTCTTACGCCTCCTCGGTGGACCTCTTCCTCCCACTCCTACTCCTGCTCCACATCCTCCTCCTCCCCATCACCCTAGCATCATCATCATCATAATCATCATCATCATCATCAGCAGCAGCATCATCATCAGCAGCAGCATCATCACC